CAGTATTGACGTACAGTAGAGTGTAGTTCTGTTGATGCCGCATCTGATAGAAACCCTTTAAACATTTGAAATCCCATTGGATAGATTTGTATTAGTTACCTGAACGAAAAGCATTTGAGACGAATTGTGCATGAAAGCTACTTATGCCATTCGGTAAAGTGTGGCTCGNTGTGGCTCGTGACAACACCGACGTATGTCTCCTGTTCACTCAGAAAAAAAAATCACCGGGGCTTTACGTCGTCCAACATCCACCGGTTTTTTCAATGGCGTCACTCCCGACAGTGTATCACTCGTTATGGGCATGAATTACGGCACTGTAAAGAGTTGGTTAGGTGAGTAAAAATGAGTGAGTCTACGCTATCAGTACAGCGCTTCAAAAGATCAAATACTGGCATGTATGCAGCGGTGAATAGCTTATTTCGACTAAGCGACAATGCAGGGGTTGAGCTGAACGAGGAACGCTTTTGTGATTTGTGCGTGTGGATCAATGCTTCTCAGTAGCAGAAGAGCGAGATATGGAAAAGCAACTTACATGAACAAGTCGTGATTTGTGAATCCAGCATGGACCTCTTCTGTGGTGGGCAATCGTCGAACCACACCACGCCAAGTGGCGAAACTTTGAAAGATAGGCTCAAACGTTTGTTGTGTGAATGATAAATTGGCTTCCGGATTGAGCACATAGAACGCGTGACGTGGATCAAACATGTGTGACAAAGTGGTGGGACGAACCGGGAGATTAGTGTCGAGCACTGACGATGTATGGGACATAGCATGAGTGGTGGTTAACAAATGTCCTATAACCAGAGGTAAGCTGAAACTACGTGTGAATGTAGGTCGGACGGAATCCGATTCGATCCCGGGCGCGAGAATCCACTCCCATGGTAGATAGGTCAAACGCTGTGTGAGAGAACGGACAAAAATAGCATTGTGAATAACAACAAATGTGCATTCTTTAAAAACCAGATAGCGCTCTACGCAGTCAATGTTATTCAGCGGTAGATATAGACTGGTAGTCGTCCTTTTACTACAAATACAAATTGAGTGACATCCCGCATCGATTATTTACTCGGAGAGAGTATTCCTAAAACAATACACGATGACAGGTGACGGCGACCGGAAGTGATGAAGTTTCAACACCAGCAAGTGTTAGAAGCGAATGTTATTCTGGTTTGCAGCTTCGAAACCGCATTAATTTTGATATCGGTCAGCACAGAAATAGTTTGTTCAAATTTTTAGTTGGCAGAATGAAGTCTTATGTGGAAAGCTTAGGTGGCATCCATGCGTGGTTTTGAATTCCCCCGAGGTTATTGAACTTTTCACAGTTAAAAAAACAGTTTTAATAGTTGACTTAAATTACTTTAATACAAAACTATGGTGAATTTCCAGCTCATGTTTTTGTGAACACGAAAGACGGACGAAAATTCTCTCCACTGGTTATGTTATGCATGTAGAGCACAAGGTACTTTTTCCTTACACAATTGTGTAATGAATGGTAGGTGGAGCGAAACTACAATTATGAGGACATACTGTTCGCTTTGGAAATCAGCAACCTATGGTCACGAAATCAGAATGGTCCCTATGAGATAAGTACGATACTGAGTTAGGTGACGGCGAATCTCCATTCCCCCATCGTCTGTTATTATTGTTGCGTTGGTACCAGGTGTGTTCGCGGTAAGAACCACAAAATCGGTCGTGTGCTTTCAGGGGAATTTTATCAAATCATTTATATACTGCTTGTGAGATGGGTGTGGGGGCGGTAGGGTTCCGCTTGAATTTGCTCTCAGCGTTCCAATCTTCATTCTGCTCTTTTATCCAAATGGGCGATTAAAGACAACAACCAAAACGAGCGTACGAAAGAGCACGGTTAGTGGTTGTAAAAAAAACTGAAAAACCTTGAGCCCAGAGTGCAACAGTGGATAACTTATACCGATTTACAACCACCGTTTACCGAACTCTTAATGTTCTACATTGTACCTATTCGTGTGCAATAGAACGCCTCGCGAAACCCATAAACAGGTAGATAGAACCATATGGAGATAGCTGAGTATTCGGATCGGATTTTTATTTTTTTATTACTCACTTTCGTGTGATGAACAGCAGACGGGGAAAGCCCCATAGTCACGAAGACCTGCTGTTCATTGATTTTAACTGGCAACCTAATCCCCGGGACTTGGAGTGGCGAACCAAATAAGGCCCCGATAGGTTAGGTGTGGTAGTGAACCGGACGACAGAAAGGCTGCCTACCACCAAAGTTGGGTGGCTGTGGATGTTGGTGATTCTCGCATGCGCAGAGATTCTACAATGGATGGCTCTGTGTCGGCGAACGACTTTCTGAAAGCCTACTTACTGTTTGTAAAAAAAAACGTGCAGAGGCAAGATGCGTCAGCTCGATCTAGACTAGTAAACACCGGAAGTTCTTACCAAACTATTTTTCGTTATTTGAGAAACCACAAGTAACATGGCGACAGTTACCGATGCTTTGGACGCTAGAACGTTTTGAACATCCTGAACGTGTAAACCAAGCTCCAAGAACGAACGATTCCACTGATTACACATGCCTCACTGAATTGCGGATTAGGCTTTGGTTATCCTAAGGCTCTGATTGTGAATCCCCTCCTCTCCTTTGTCTTGGGCAGCGTAGCAGCTTTCTGTCCATGGGGAACTCACGGATCGATCCCTTCAGTGCTGTGATTTGTTTGACACAGTCCGAACCCAGAGAAGAGTGAAAATATCTACACATACTGTCAAATGTGAATAAGGGGACTTGATGAATTGGGACCTTTTCCGAAAGAGCGATTGCCGTGATACGTATAATCCAGGGTCTCTATCCGAGTCTACCGAAGGTAAAGCAAAATGCGAACTTATTACGGCAAAGGATCAGAGTAACGCTGTCAAAAACTGCCTAGAGCGGGAGAGACGGTATATTGCACGAGATCTAATACGGACAACTGAACAGAATGCCGATATAATCTTAACTGCTTATGCAGCTGAAATGGTTACCTAAAGAAGTGAAGTAATCCCACCGGATTCGAATTCGACAGATGAGAACACAAATAAAGCGTCAAGGAAATCCAGGGATTGTGGCTACCGCGAACAAGGCTGTAGCTTCAAACTTACACGATCCAATACCAGTACAACCGATTCGGACCTAGGCGATTTGGGATCTGCAGACGACATAGACGACGATGATGACAAGGGGCCAAGAAGCCACTTAAGGTCGTCCGGAGTGAACCAATCACGGTGCATTTCGTTCAACATAGTCTTAAATGAAAGAAGAAAAAAGGATTGTTTATTATGTTAGAGAACCAAACGATGGAAGGAAGTTCAGACTCAGCAGATAACCACGTAGTTATCATTGATGCTTAGCCAACCATAGAGCATGCGTCATTTAATTTCGTAGGACCCCTTTCAAAGCCACTTGATGAGGATTTTTAAAAGTGAACTTATTTCCACGAAATGAGGATATCCACACGGTTGTCAGGAATTAATCCTCATATCGGTGTGAAATGAAACATCGTGTTATTAGAGGAAAATAGCTTTGAGACTAGTTCGCGCAGAGCACTTGTATAAACTGACCTACTGTCAGATAAAAAGATTATTTTTTACCTGAAACTGTTTATTTTTCGAGTATTTTCAAATATGTATTGTAATTTAAACATTTTTGGCGTGATTTCGGTCTCCATCGTCCAATTCCATCTGCCGGCCGCCAATAGGTCAATTCTGTAAATTTTCTCATTTTTGCAATAATTCTAAAGGTTTCTATGTCCAGAGGCCGGAACAGCATATGAGCAGACGGCCTGACACTGTAAATTTGACTTTCTCTGGGTTTTTCAACTATACATTCGTTGCTCACCGCTTGTGTTCTCGCTTACGTAGCTAGAAGGCTTCTAGTGCTTCAGGCATACGATCTGCACCGTGATCGTACTATTGGGGCTATTGAGTTGCGCGTTTCGTAGCGTTGGAACCCACCTCATACATCCGTGTGTTCGCGCTCCGTGCTATATCGTGCACGCCGAATATGAGTGTCCGCTTTGTGTTTCTCGTCCATCGTCAGTATTGAGTGCCACTACGAATGTGTTGTGCTGTGCTCTATCGACTGGAGTTTTGATCACGCTGTCTCACGTCATTAGTGTGTATTGTGTCAGTTTGTTACGTGTGAATGGTTAAGGGTTTTACAAACTGAAACAGAACTGAACCGTGTTGGGCGTGTTATTTGTCAGGGATCGTGAACGACACAACACATTTTACTTTTAGGCGACTTTCTCCTGCGTGAAGATGAGCCAACTCTGTGAATGGATCCTTGAAAAATTTTAATAGTATGGCACCAAGCAACATCTAAAGTACTAGTGCCTTTTTCAAAGAATAGACCGCTAGCTCTTGCAGTCATATGCGATCTGTGGAGAGAGAGTGCGCGACGATTATCTCATTTAGTGGCGAGCCAGATTAATGCATATCATGATGCCGTCTATGGACATAGATGGCTTTTTGTTGCGGAGAAATCGTCTGTCAAGCGAAAACCCGCC